GTCAATCAGGCATGTAGCATCAGGTTTGGGTTGGTTAGGGGGGATGACATTCCCCACCCAACTTTTTTCTCAACGTATCCTAATGTTTAACCACACACCCCCTCCCGAGTTTGTCCGTTTGTCCTTCCGTCCGTCCGTCTTTCTGTCTGTCTGGAACGCTTTCGTTTCCACACGATATCTCGAGAACCCTCTAAGCTTTTGCAATGAAATTTAGCATAGCAACAGTTACTACCTATGGACTAAAGGAAAACCCTATTGATTTTGTGGTCAAGAAGTCAAAGGTCAAGGTCATAAATAAACAAATTCTGTCTGTTATAACACTTTCCTTTCCACACAGTATCTCTAGAACCATTTGAGCTATTGCAATTAAATTTTACATAACAACTCCCCATGGCCTTATGAAGACCCCTATTGATTTTGAGGTCAAAAAGTCAAAGTTAAAGGTCGTAAATTTATACATTCTCTCTGTGTGTAACACTATCATTTCCGGGCGATATTTCAAGAAGATTTTGAGCTTATGCAATGTATTTTATACCAAAACTCCCTAGGATCTCTCTCAAAGTGTCCCGCCCCGTTTGTTTTATTAGAATTTATAGTATTACATGTCGCTATTTTTAGCATAGGGGCATGAAGAGAGTTATTGCATATAAAACAGGTTCTCGGTAGAATGTATATTCCTATCACATCTACCAGAACTGTATAATAAAGGTTGAATTAGACACCATGTTTTGTGTAAATTTTTGACGATATCAAACGTGAATATATACATGTTTGTGACTTCATATTTGCATATAATTGTCGAAATTGTACAGCAGTTCCGTGGCGCAGGGGTATGTCTCCCTCTTCACATGCGAGAGGTCACGGGCTCGATTCTCGGACGATCATTTTTTTCTTTTCCGAAATTCTTTTTTTTACTAAATGATAGTATTCAGCATGTGAAATGAAAAAAAATTACGAGGTCTAGCTTGTACAAACTCATAAAATCATCATTACGCTGTGATAAATAATCCACATAAAAAGAATCTTCTATACACATGATCAAATCATTATATCAATATTGACATATCTTATTTGCTTCAGTATACTTGTATACATTTAAAAATTCTACAAATTCAATTAGGGGGATCCGACTCCCAACCCCCCACCCCCACCCCCGCCCCGAATTGCGCATGGTTTACTTTTTCCCTAAGCGGGGGACACAAATTCTCTGAATTAGCTTGTTAGATTTGCATCAATAAAAAATGCTAACAGACAAACAAAGAATGTTACTTTTGGATTGAACGTTTTTATTTGATCCACTTTCATGAATACACTGTACAATTTATGGATCTATTTTCTGGATCCCTAAGTCTCCGGTAACACTATCCACTCACTTCCAGCATCAATGGTCTGTACTGTAATGATGTATTCTCATAATGATAATCTGAAAAAGTGATAAAATTAAAAAGTAATAATATTATACAGCTTTGCCTTCAGATACTTACTAAGAACCATTTGTAGTTGAGCTTGAGCAACGATGATGAATGCAAAGCATGTTTATTGGAATCAATTAAATTCCAAGAGATCTCAATGGTTTAGTTTATCATTTTATTTAAAAAAGTTAACGTTTTAACTAAATGTATTATTTACACGTTTTTCCTGTCTAATTCTCTATCAGCTCATCCAATTCTGTTTCTGCTTCTTTCCGAGTTTGGCTTCAAAGTGGCGAATTTCACTCTAAAAACAGAAGTATACAACACAAAGTTGAGACGGTATTGATTTAGATATTCTTTAAATTTATAAACTTGTAATAAAAAGGTCAATTGGTTCTAGGTTTTGTCAAAACTCTAAATTGTGGTTTTCATTTCTTTCCAATAACACCCCCCCCCCCCAAGAAAAAATAGAGTATAGAAATTCTTTTCAAAAATTTATGTGCTGTAATTCTATTGATGCTTATTATTTGAACCTAGTTGACTTAAATTAGTTCAGTGGTACCGGTGAAAATGTTAGCTGAATATGAATTTTCTTTCATAAGTAAACACTGGATGACATCAGCAAAAATTTTTTTTTAATTTATTATTTTACTGTGGTATATATACAATTCAGTTACCACTAGTCCACTACATTATATACTTGTCTGTATCACAATACTTCCAAGGAAATCCCCTTTCCTAAACTAAAATATGTTAAGTACAGAGTTAACCCCCTGCCCCTTTTTCTTTTTTTACGACGTCATAACAAAAGTCATTCCATTTTACAAATATTTCATAATAGTGTTGATTTTCATAAATTCATAATTTTTTATGTAAAAAGCAGCTAGGTATTATCTTAAATGGTAAATAAAGATATCTATTACTGTATACAGAATTTTTATTTATCCGACCATCACTCAAGTTATAATCATTATAGCTGGTGAGTGACTTGGTTACACACATGCTGTGAATACAACAAATCAAAATTAAACTAAATTCAAATCAAACTTTATAATTTGGGATACAGTTATGTAACTGATCATGACCAACTTTTTCACCTTCGGCCCGCAGAAACAATCTAAGTTGGGGAATTTAATTTCATTTTATCATATTATAGTTTAATATCGGCAATATTATCGGGGAGGGGGAGGGGCATTCCCCCTCCTCTTGGTTCCTCAGGCCAAGCATAATCTTTTCTTTTTAGTTATAAAATACTAAAGTAATGCTGACATATATAATCAATCAGAATTAAATTGAAATGTGCAAAAAAAACACTTGCCAAGTGTTACATATTTTCCTGCATGGTTAATTTTTGTTATAAATTCTTCAGAAACTGTTGAAATGGTAAATTGTAAAAAATTCAGTCACTAACCGTAATTAAGACTCATGAAAACGCCAAAACTGAGGCTCAGACTGCTCCAAGTGTGTAATTTTCTTTTAGTCTTCTGTACACTGTTATTGAAAACAATGTAAGCAAACTACCGTTTATTTCTCCTATGTTAGAGAGCTATACCAAAGGGAGGTAATTTGAAGCAAAAAAGACAGAAAATTATGGATTTCAATCAGTTATTATATATAAATGCTTTAGTTGCCTGCAGATTTTTTTCTTGATTCTTCTAGGACAAATACTGTTTAATATATATTTTATGTTGATAAGCTTTAATGTGGTTGTAGATTTCTTATAGAGTACTGCAAATTTGCTGTTTTTTTTTAATCAAAATAAACCTCCAAAAACTAGTTTTATTTATCAAAAGGTGAAGAGAATTTCAATAATCAACAGTTGTTAAAATAGAGTATTTTTAGATAAATAGAATAATAATTTAAAAAACTTTTATTAATGACTAGTAATAAAAAATATTTGTTTAACCATAAATTCAAGTGTCATGATAAAGTACAAAACACGCAATTTGAAAGGCGCGTGGTTTCCATAGCAACAATGCGAAAAATTATTTTTGGCTTGCTTTTTTCTATTATACCCTTTGTTCTAAAAATTTATATATGAGTTTTAACCAAATCTGTTTCTATGCCACTTTCCACATTTTTTAACTAAATGCTCGATGCTTGCTGATTTTGACTCTTAACTAGGCCAAAATACGACATAATGGTACATGTAGGTTAGAGTTGCTATGGTATTTTTTGGCAAATATTACCTAACAAAAATGACTTCAATATACGTTTATCACTGAAAATGAGGATTATGTCTCCTTGTCGTTTCAATACAGGATATATGACATGAAGTTATAGAATTTGATCACGTGACCGCGCAGCACAGTTAAGGTTACATTGAGGAGGCGGGGCCTAATTTGTACGGGAAATATTTACTATGACGTCACGCATATTACAAGGTCTTCAAAATACCACAAAATGAAATTATTTGCTATTTCAAACAGCTGGATAGCTGTTTACTACATACACACTTACTATTACATGCAGTTTTTTGTTTGTTAAATCCCACACAACAGTATATAAACGATACATCGATCGTCAATGTGACGTCATCTCGCAAAAATGACGCAGTTTTTACACAGTCAGAGGCTGATCAAGTCACATTTTTTACAATGAAAAATGTCTTTTGTTCTCAAATAAGATATTATTTGCGGTAAAATAAAAAGCCATTAACTTGGACGCGATGTTTATTTTAGTATTTTATTCATTAACTGTACGTGTATTTATCAGACAAGCGATACTGTCGTGTGTTTGTATGCAGATTCATTAAAAAAGTAATGGAAGGGCCCTAATAAATCGATTTATTGCAAGGGCATTCCTTCAATGTATATTGTCAAAATTTTACACATAAACTCAAGAAGCATTAAGATATTTGAAAAGTGATGCGAACCTCTTGAAATCTTACAATTAAATTAATTATAGTTATATTTAATGTAGTTGACCAGCAAAATATTCAACCTGCCGTCCAACAAATTAAATTTTACCAATTAAAAAAGGGAATCTATATAGGTTCGCAGCACTTTTCACAAACTACATATAGTGTTGAAAAGGATTATAAAATAAACTAAGATTTTTAGCTTGGTTATGCCCTTGCAATATTGAAATTTATCGATGACCTCTATACTGCAAGTATTATTGCCAAAGTCATGTGACGTCGACATCAAATGACAAGTCTAAATAAAAAATCTAAATGTCCCCAACATGTTGATTTTAACCACATTACTTTTTTTTTTATATCAGTGAATTCCTTAAGAAGAATCGCCCATCCTAATAAAGTATATATTTTTTATCTTAAAAAATCGTCGATATTTCCATTTGTAACCTTAACTGTGCTGCGCGACTTCATGTCACATCCCAATGACACTCTAAGAATGATATTTTATTTCTTAAATAATTTTTTAATTGGAAAAAATGATCTCCCTAGCAATTGCAATTTATTATCTGATAAATACTGACTGATGTCTTTTATACCTTAACTTAAATCATGATTCAGAAATTGTGAACTCTACTCTTATGGTTTAAACTATGTATATTTTAATTATAACATCATCAAATGTTGTTTAAACAAGAAATATGTATTTATTTATTTTCTAAATTATCCAGTTGAAGGACCTTATAACGTTTATATGGTTGGCCATATTTGTGATATTTGGAGTAGGAATATATTACCACGCAAATCTTTGGCCAGACCACGTGTACATATTTGGTGACGGGTCTTTAGGATCATGGAGGATCTGGAAAATCATCAGTCTTCCTTACTGGCAGCTTTATGGAGAACCTAACGAAGAATACATCAGTGGTTAGTACAGTAAACGCATCACATGTGACTTTCTTTCGCTTCAGCTAATTTAAGTACAACGCTAAGTGACCTGAGTACATGTATATATATTCATGTAGATCAATAAAAACCTTACTTCAAGAAATGCTTTAATTAATCAAATTCACGTTAAATTGTTAAAAATTTCAATTTCCGCTAAATATCGTACAAGCTAAATAAAATACATTAACAGTAATTGGTTGTACGCATGAAAATATGAATTAGATTACAGAAATTCTTATCAATAATTGTACTGTTCTTGATGGCATACTAAGTCACTTGATGTTATAGAAAAGTAATAAAAAAGTGTATTACAGTGTTGTTTAAAGCAGAGTTACATCTGAACGTCGAGATCTCTGCCCGACATTAAATACACATTTTTAAATTGTCACATTTGAGGGAATTTTTAATACCTTTAAACTTATGACAGAAGATACAAAAATCAGGAATATATTAAATATATCTACAAGTAATTGATGTATAGCCTTGGTTAGAATAAGTCATACACTGTATCTAATGTAGAATAATTTAGGTAGGTTTTAAATTAATTTTTCAACCTTTAATATATACATTTTTTAATGATAACAGGAAAGGACCAGTCCGACTGTACCAATATTACGTCTATTTGGTCTTCAGACCCATCGCAAGAGAGATGTCCACGCGAGGACTGGACAGTTGTTTTGATCGCTGCATTTTACATGTTATTCTCCAACCTTCTGCTAGTGAACCTTGTAATAGCTATGTTCAGGTTTGTACTGTATTATATTCCAAGGCACTTACATTTAACTTATGTATTAACACATTGTTTTCATCTGTTCTACTGCATGTTAGTCTGTCCTATTTCATGTACATTCCACATTCCGACATTTTGTACAAACTAAGATGATAAATTTTACTTTACCGAACTTTTAAAATCATTTGAAACCATATAACTGTCTTTATTTTTTCTTTAGCTACACATTTGGGAGAGTCAAATCGAATTCCGAAAAACTATGGATGTTTGAGCGCTATGTGGTCATAAAGGACTTTGAGTATCGAAAGCCTTCCTTAATAAACATAATTTGCTTTTTAAGTTACATCATCAGTTGCCTGTTTCAAAAATGCAAAAACAGAGTGAACAATAATCGTAAGTAATTTTCAAGCATGTAAACATCCTGTAGGGAAAAGAGTTAACTTTTGTGAATGTTTTCACTGTTTAGCTCACCAGAGACGAAGGCTCAAGTGAGCTATTCTGATCAAAATTTGTCCGTTGTCTGTCGTTGTTGTTGACGTTATCGGCGTCGTTGTAACTTTGCACATTTTTATCATTCAAGAACCAATGGGCCAATTTCAACCAAACTTGCCACACAGTATCCTTGGGTGGAGGGAATTCATGTTTGTTTAAATGAAGGGCCATGTTTTCTTCCAAGGGGAGATAATTTTGAATTAGTGGAAAATTAATGGCATGTTTAAAAAATCTTCTCCTCAAGAACCACTGGGCCAGGAAAGATGAAACTCATTTGGAAGCATCCTCAGGAATTGCACATGCAAGATTGTTCAAATCATGACCTCCAGGGGTAGGGTAGGGCCACAATGGGGGGAGGGTCAAAGTTTAACATAGAAATATATACATGTATGTAAAATCTTTAAAAAATTGTCTTCTCCAGAACCTCTAGGCCAGGAAAGCTCAATCTCATGGGGAAGCATCCTCCGGTAGTGTAGATACAAGTATATTAAAATCATGACCACTAGGGGTATGGTGGGTCAACAAAGGGGGGTCAAAGTTTACATAGAATTACACAGGGATTATCTTCAAAAATCTTCTCCAGAACTTCTAGACCAGGAAAGTTGAAAGTCATGTGGAAGGATCCTCTGATAGTGTAGATTTAAGTTTGTTCAAATCATGACATCCCTCCCAGGGGGGGGGGGGTAGGATGGGGACACAATGGGGGGTCAAATATTTGCATAGGAATACAATCGTTAAAATCTTTAAAATCTTCTTCTCAAGAACAGCAAAGCCATGATTGGTCATAGTTATATGGAAGCATCCTCATGTGGTATAGATTCGAGTTTGTTCAAATCATGTTCCTACTTGAACCCTCTTTGATATTTAAATTTTTCAATACTGAACTGATTTCTGCTGTAAGTTCACATAGCCAGAGCTCAGATGAGCGATGTGTCTTCCGTCCTCTTGTTGTTTAAACCAAGTACATGTATGCGATATTAAGCTTTTGGCAATTATATATTTTAAATCTTATAAAGGGTTCAATACAGTCCTCTCTCTATAAATATAATATATATAAAATTTTAAGGTTCCAAAGTTTGTTCAGTCATCGGAAACATTTTTTCTCTGTTACTGCGTAGGAGAAGGTTCTTTTTTGCAGAAAAATTAAATAACCGGCTTTCTTAAATATATAATCCGTTATTTTTGTACAAACAAGAAAAAAAATAATTTTTGAAATATTTCCAAGCCATTTAAGATCATTGATTATGTTTTTCCCCGTTTTTCACAGAAGGGAAAAAAGAAACAAGTGAAAATAAAAAAGAAGAGAAGAAGGACTTGAAGAAATTTCAAAAAATCATGGCAACGAGGGTTGTCTATGCACAGGCAGAACATGTACTGAGAACTGCTGAAACGGATAGCATGTAAAACACTGTTTCTTTTTTTAAACATTTCGTTGTAAATATTTTGTAGTTATTCAAAAGATTTGGACAAACTTAAAATTAGTTCATTCAATAAAATAAAGAAAAATGATATAATTAGATGTCTTATAATGATCTGTTTTATTCTTAATTGAAACAGATTATCTCAGTGATTTTTTCTGAAACAGATCCTGTTCTCTAGGAATCATAATGCATAGAAATTAAGCTGGAAGCTAATTCCGTTTAAAAATAGTCTCGTAAAACATTAACGAGAAATCATTACTTATACACTTTAAAACCTCAAGAGGAACAAATTCAACCAAAAAATCTATTTCAATTCAATATTGTTTTTTTTTTTAATGTATGCCGAATCAATTATTTGTTTGAGACACACATGATTACAAAATATTAAAAAAGGAATGGTTATATATTGAAAATTAAAAAGAAATGTTTTTAAACCATTTATACTTTTTGTAGTAGTGTTTTATGTGCACATGGTAAATGAGACAAAATTTGTTTGATTGCTTCGATGGAATAAATCTTTATGGAGAACAAGCCTTAAAGTTACAAAAAAAAGTTCTTACAATTTGCTAAATGTGTACTTTTAAGAGGCCATGCCAGTAAGCATTGAGCTTTGAATGGAAAGTCAAAAATTTTAATTTTCTTGAAATCAGTGTTGATGGATTATTTCTGTCACAATTAAACAAAAAAAATACAAAAATACTGATTTTAACCATAACGACACTGTCGTATCCAAGGAAAAACATTTCCTTAGTTACCAGAATAGATTTTTTACTTTCAAAACAGGCAAATATTGCCATAAAAAGAGTAGATATGCACATAGATGTTGTCAAAAGATTGTTTGCAATTACTCATTCCTTTAAGAGGACTTAATTCTTAGTTCTTTGGTGACCAACTAAGTATGATTACACTTTTTCGGTGCGTTGCTATGGTGATGGGAAGAAGAGGTATGATTTGAACAAAAAAATAGTTGAATTTGCACCATTTTTTGAAAGACTTTTTCAAAAATGCTGTGCAACTACTTATAAACTCTTTAGTGTGATTTTGTTAGGGTTGGGTTAATAAAAGAATTAGGAAAATAAAATTGGGTAGACAATCAAAAACAATGTTGCCATGGAGACTCAAAGATATGGAAATTTAGGCATTTATAGATGATTTCCTGTGAACAGTTCATGGTATTATAAGTAATTTACCCTGTAAGAAAAAATGTCAAATGTAACAAATTGGTGCATCTTAAATGAAAATGAGTCATAAAATACCATGACCTTCTCTTCACCTGGACCTTTGACTTCAATGTCAAATTATAAAGGACTATATATGATAAGAGCCAATTTTGGCCCCCTAAAAATCAACATTTTAGAATGATATTGAGATATGTTTAATTGATAATTAATTTGAAGAAGATATATTACAAATATTCCTTCTTTTCACCTTGACCTTTGACTTCAATGTCAAATTATAAAGGATATATATGATAAGAGCCAATTTTGGCCCCCCTTAAAATAAAACATTTTAGAATGATATTGAGATATGTTTAATTGATATTTAATTTGAAGAAGAGGATATATTAGACATATTTCCAAATATATATATTTTTCATATTTATATGCACTCACTGGCTGTAAATGACATGAGAAATAATGGTATTTTTAATATCTAACCAAAAAAAGGCAAAAAAATAGGCCTTTTTGATGTTTTGTCTTATGGGAAACAGAGTGCAGTGTAGAACATACATAATTTTTCTGTCACTAATTAGTATTGGATGGATACATCTTAGGTAAAAATATAAAGCTTGTTCTACTCTGCGCTCTCTATTTTCTGGAAGAAAAACTGCTTGAATATAAGCAGTTTTATACAAAATATGCTAAAATGGCGGGGAAATGTGAACTTATGATGTCATATTTCTAAATTAGCAGCATTTTGATCAATTTGAAAATGACCAATAAAGGTTGCATGTATAGCTGTACAAATTAAAGCTATATATAAAGTAAAATAAAAAGATATTCATTTTAAGGGGCCATTTGAGGCATTTATCATATATTCGCTCTTCATCTTTTGCCTCATAATTTTCAAGCTGCATGGTCCTTGAAGTTGTTATAATCCTTGCTTCATTTAATAGTAGGTTCAAAGGTGTTGCATACTGTTAGACAGTTCAAGAAAAAAAAAATTAGTGTTTGGTTAATCAAAATAATAATAATAATAGAATTGGGTCGACTTTCAAAAACATTGTTGCCATGGAGATTTAAAAATAAGCAAATTTAGGTATTTTTGGATAATTTCCTGTTAACTATTCAGATCACTAAAAGTAATTTGTCCTAAAAGAAACAATATATATTCTTATTCCACATGAGCTCAGCTGTAAAAGGTAATGAGTCATACATTACTTTAACTTCTCCTCATCTTGACCTTTGACCTCAAGGTCAAACTATTCTTTATTATTTATTCTATGTCTAATAATTTCTTAACTAAATCTACATGGTTCTTGATATTTTGAACCCTGCTTTGAATATTTCATACATTGATACACAGTGTTTGTGAATTGTTTGACAATTCAAGAAGAAAAATTAATGTTCTACTGTTGACCTTGACTAAAGTGGCAAGGTCAGTAACTTAATTGAGGTCCAAGTTAATAATTTTAAGTGTTATGGCCTGTTGTTGAAATAAATGTACTAAGTATTTGAAACATGTGCAAAGTAATTCATCATGATCAATCTTTTGTCACACTAAATATTGATGCTTCAACATCAATAATGATTAAAACACCCTTGATGTTCTCTAAGATTTTTCTGTCCTGCAGTATAAAGTATACTATAGTGTTTAAGATGATGAATTCAAAACAACAGCAAAGTTTAAAAAAAAAAAACCAAAAAAAAAACAAAAAAAAAAAAAAAAAAAAAAAAAAAACAACAACAACAGAAAAGCCTATTAAGAACAGTTATGATTAATTCCCCTTTAAAAGTTTCTCCTTTAATACATTACTACATGTACTGAAAGCACTTACAGGAAAATGAAATGAAAAATCTATTTTATTTCCTCCCTAGCTTTGCTTATGTCACTCAAGTCAGACTATACTAAAAATTAATTAACAAATAATTAATTTGACAACATTGTGTAAAAACATGCTTAAGAGTTCAGGCTACAACACCCTCCCCCCTCCCCACCCTCTTTGTTTTTGATTTATACCCTGCCATGAATATAGCCGGGGCTGGCATAAAGTGTTTGACATGTTTGTCTTCTGTCCTTCCTTCCGTCACACTTTGAGTTTAGCTCAGTTGAAAGCTCAGTTTCAAAAAAACCATCCATGATATTTTTACCAAACTTCCTATGCTGATACATAAAGATGTCTCATGTAAGCAATTCAACTGCATCAACATTTTTGACCTTGTCCTTTCATTTGACCTTGACCTCACTTCCATCAAATTGTGTTTCAATCTGTTTTAAAGAAACCATTCATAATATTTTTGCAACTTCATATGCTGATACATACTGATGAGAGCTTTTCAACTGCATCAACATTTTTTGACCTTGGCTTTTCCTTTGACCTCACTTTTCTGAAATTAGTGTCAAACTTCATTACGCTGATACATACTGATGTAACCGATTCAACTGCATCACTATTCAAGATATTCTGATCAAATTTCGCACACTAATACAAATTTTCCTGTTGCATTACTAATATAACCTCGACAGGTCATTCATGTCCTATGAACATATTTCTATTTTTTTTTAATAAAGTAAATAAAAAAAATATTTGTCCCCTTTGCACAATCTTCATTTCCTTTTTAGGGAGGAGTTTTTTTTTTTAAAGTGTATGGATAATGCTTCAACTCTTGACAACTACTCCTTAACATGCTTAAGACAATATCTGGTAATAAATAAAATCAGAATGTTCTCCCAAATCCCCCATTTTAATTTGGAAAATCCTAAAAATCAAAAATAAAATTTTTAGTGGCTACTTATTCTTGAAAGTCCCATTTCCTAATAGCTCAAAAATACAAGATTTTTTTTAATATTAAAAAAAAATGATGTTTTTGGAATATTTATTCATTTAAAATTTAGTTTATACAGACATGATGATTGAAAAAATGCTAAAAAATTAATACAAAGAGTCCAGGCAAGTTTAAGTTTTACCTGTGATTTGGGCACTTACATGAATTAACTCTCTAAATCATATTTAAAAAATACATAACATACATAGTCCTCTACCCCATTCCTTCACATGCTGGGGATAGACTGTTTTTTAGACAGCTATGTGGCAATTGTATTTGGTACTACATGGTAAAACAATTATATTTAAAACTTAAATTATTGTTCGAAACAAGACACATGTAGATTTCCTCCAGTGGCTTCTTTAAGCAACAGGATGTTATCTTCAACTACCTTTTGCTGTAATAAAAAAAACAAAAAAAAAAAAACAATTTCAAGTTTATGTATTAATCTTATATGTACATCCTATCTTCTGTAAAGGCTGCATAACCATTATATACGTATGCAATTCCCACTATTCTAATCAATGTAAATAATTATCATGAATCAGTTAGACAGTGGAACAATGCAGATGAACAAGCTTCAAAATATATAGGAGTTCTGGAAGTTGGAGTGGGGTGGTTCAATTTTCAAAGACAAACATTACTAAATTCCTTCGTCATAATTTACACATGTATATTTTGACTCTTTTATGCAAATTTTATGAATTAATTAGGTCTGTTTTCCTGAAGATAGGGGGTGGGGTGGTAAGATAAATTATTGACTACTTTATCTTAAATTTTTTTTTAAATTTTGGATTCGTACACTGTAATCCCAGTTTCTTTTTATTATTCATTAATTTTATACACACTTTTACATACATTAACACTCATGAGCAGACAAATTGATTTATGAACTACCTAAACATAGTCAATCTTGCTTCCTTTTATAAAATTAACAGATTCCAATTTGTTTGTTTGTTTGGTTTTTTTTTTTGGGGGGGGGGAGGGATTAGAATAACTTTTCTTTGTGTCATTTAAGTAATATATTTCATCTAAAACATAAAAATAAAAATAACTTTGATGCTATTTTACACAATGAATTGGTATATGTACCATTCCCTACTCATTTGGCAAATTAGTAGAAAAAACTCATTAGTCTAGATAAGTATACTTGTCAGTTTGTTCCATTGATGTTATGAAAGACTAAAACTAAGATTTGGACATAGTTTAGGTTTTAAAACTCCGATTTATAAATGGGGAAGAAGGTGAGTTAAAATGATTTATGTGTGTATATAGGGACTTTAGTCTTACCAGCAGTGTGATCTCATGACCTCTAGATCTTTAATACACAAATAGCATTTGCATAAATTATTTTAAATTTCATTATTAGCATTTATATATCTTTAATTGTATTAGGAGTAATTTAACAACTGCAGAATCAAACATTTATGTAGTAGTCATATAACAGGTTGCTCTTAATTATCTGTAAGGAGGTAAGTTCGTTGCATCACTCAATATCTATATCACATCATAGGATAGAGAAATTAATCTAAAAGTACCTTCCTAATCTTTACTCTTGCTTTAAATAGATAAAGTTATCAAAAGTTTACCTAAAAATGTACATGAAAAATACATATTTAACATACCATTATATGTTTTTGTCCAACTACTCCAAGTTGGAAGTTTTCCCTGTTCTCCCGCATTTCCTCTACTGTTGTTTGTTCAATTCTTTCCGGTCTCCTTTACTAGAGAGCTCATGCAAGGGAGGTAATCCAATCGTTTTTCAACAATTCAATCTGATATTTTACTTAAAGTTTTAAGAGTCTACCCAATTTTATTTATTTAATATATTGAACGGAACATTCTCCTTCTACAGATATATATAGAAATTTCTAAAGGTGCACAGCATTTGCAAACCACATAGCTCTTTATGGGATATAATTCTACCGGTAAAATCTTAATAAAAGTAAGCACAAATTAAATTTTACTTATAAAATAGAAAAATATAGTTCAAAGCACTTTATGACCCACATTATTAAATTATACATAGAGTTTTGATGTCAAATATAAGAATTATAACAGGATAGGCCAGTTCACATATTTCTCTGATAAGTATGACAAAATGCTCTGGTTGCCATGGAAACAAGAGGTCATATGCCCGGGTAGATATATTTTTCTGAAAGACTAATCATATGCATCATGTTCACAAAATTTGAGCAAGAAATAAATTTTTGCACTTTCCATGTTTATATAGGGTGAAGCTCAATGCTTATTGGCACGGGCTCTTAATGGCTGTTAGGACGTTTTACATTGTCTTACGTTTCTTATCAGATATTCCTTTAATTCTGAATTTTAAAAAGGTTATTGCAAGAACTACTCCCCAATTTATGGGCGTGCGTAAATATTGAAAGAAGACGTATTAAGTTTCCAAGTATGAATACATATCTAGACTAATAAATTGATGCATTTAAAGTATTTAAAAAGTATTGAATTTTATTTTAAATACACTACAGTTGAAATGAAACAATGAATAGACATTAAAATACAGCACACACTTCCTTCAGAATTGGAACTCTTCGACTCCATGGAAAAAGGCAAAAATTTCAAACAACGTTGCGTATACCTTAAGCTAAAATAATAATTTACTTTCGCGGCCGATTTGATGCTTTGCATCGATTTAACTTGTTGTTATTATCTGTTGACAGCCACGGCATATTGATGTAGCTCCTCGTACGTAGAGTGTTTGTCTAGAGCTCCAAGTTCTGCATAAATGGAGCAAACCCTGAAATGAATATGTTGTATTTATGGTAAAAGATTTTTTTCAGCAAAAAAGGTGAAAACGTCTTTCAAAACAAATAAATAAATAAGCTTGATAATACATACTGATGTCCACTTGAAGGAATGTCTGAAATTATAAATTTTGATTCAACACAATAAAAAGCATTGATATACATATTTTTTATAATTATTCATAAAAAATATCCATTTATTGAAAATTGGAAAAAGAAGCTCATTGGCCACATCGCTCACCTGAGCACATGGGCAAGTTAAAACACATATCAGCTCAGTTTTGAAAAGTATACTTGTTGGGAGAGGGGAGTTTGAATTTTCTAGATTACTTGAGGATGTCACTATATCAGGTAAGCATACATGTGTAATTTTGCCATACTTGAAAGGAGATTTTTCAATCATACTTCTTGATCTCCCATTGTGACCCCTTCTCCTCCTCCCCCCCCCCCCCCTACACACATTATTTGAATAAATTTCAAACTCAACAACTTGCAGATGCTTACATGTAAAATTAATTCAGGTTCATAAACCCTCTGCTCACTCACATGAAATTTTTCTTAAACTTTTATGCTTTTCCAAGGGAAATGTACATGCTGAATAAAATCCAAAAATTATAGCATGGCTTGCGGGGGAAAATTTGACAAAAAGGCACTAAAACTTGACAAATTTATGAAGGAATAATAGACATTTGTGTCATTACGAGTTATCTTTCTTATCAGAGTATCAATGTACCTTAACAAAACTTTTCTGCTCTGGAGAAGATTTGAAAAACGTTGATGCCTCCTTGTGGCCCCGTCATACCCCCATGGGTCATGCTTTGTACAAACTTGAATCTACACATCCTGAGGATACTTTCACATGATTGTCATCTTTCCCGACCGATTGGTTCTGGAGAAGATTTTAAAAAGATTTCACCTATATACATTGTATTCCTTTGTGAAACTGTTATCATCCATTGTGGTCCCGCCCTTCCCCGGGGCTTATGATTTGAAAAAAAACTTGAATCTACACTACCCCAGGATGCTTCCACATAAGTTTCATCTTTCCTGAAAATTTGTATTAAGATACCATTTATTTTTCATTTATTCTTATTTATCTCTTCTTTGAAAAGGGCCTGACCCTTAATTTGAACACACTTGAATGCCCGTCATCCAAGGATACTTTGTAGCACGTATGGTTGAAATTGGCCCAGTAGGTCTTGAGAAGAAGATGAAAATGTGAACCGTGTACTACAACGATGCCAACAACGACGACGACAGACAAAGGACAAATTTTGATCAAAAAGCTCACTTGGGCCTTTGGCCCAGGTAAACTAATTAAAGTGATAGTGATTATTTAATATTTCATTGTCTTGAGTGAGAATGAAAAATAAAGAAAAAATAATTTAAAAAATTATAAAAGATTATCTTTGAAATGAAGAATTCAAAGCAAAAATCTTTGAAGTTGCAAATATTATTATAATACAACTGATGACGTGTTTAAAAGAAGTAAAGTTAAAACTTTTAATGAATTGATGCAAATTTAGACTAGTGTAGTAATGGACCTTTGTTATATACGGTATTATATAAAGTGTAAGAAAAATTCCATTCTATTTACCAGTTTTTGATCAACAAAAAGAGTTGTGAAATGATTTGAATTTTAATACAAATAAATGAAAGAAAATTAGTACTCTAAGCTTCCAAGTAGCAAAAAAATCATCTATTAAAGAATTTTTACAACTGAAGAACTAGATAATGTTTGAAGAAATTAGGTAATAAATGTAAATTTTAGAGATATAAAGATACTTGTTTTCTAAGTTGTTAGGAATTGAAAGTGTTCATGTTATTTGATTAGAAGTAAATGAGGTAATATGGGATGTTTTTACCTGTGAAGTCAACATCCTTTTGATCTGCACTTGATTTAAGATCACTGAAGAAGAAATACATCATACAATATTTATGAAGTTGACACTTTCCGATAAAAAAAAAAAACGGTGTTAATTATTTCTCAATTACAAGATGATGAAGCTTAAGATTAAATTTCGATGTTATATAATTACAAAAACAATACAATTTGTGCCCTCAGGACTTATATCAAGTCATCTGAAAAATTGTCCAGATATGGAATCAGGTGCCCGGATATAACAATTATCACAATTTCAAAAAGGAGCGAATCTCACCATTTCACTGCAATTATTGCTGAAATTAAAAGAATTGTCTTTGTTAAATTTATTTACCCAGAAAAAATATTGAAATTTGCATGTTAAAACTTATAATATATAATAATAGACTTGAGTACAGGTTGATATATACAGTGTACCTCGAAAACTATGAGGAATATAATAAAAAGAAATAACGTTAAAACTTTTGAAAGATAATGGGATAAATATGTTTATATAGTAGTGTTGCATTATGCATGTACTATGCCTAAATAGTAGGCAGGGATTGACACATGGTGCACAAGCCGGAGGCGAGTGCACTATGTGTCAAACCCTGCCTACTATTTAGGCATAGTACATGCATAATGCAACACTATTGTTATTATTATGCTGACTGTTGTAATTATTTATGCGGCAATCCATCTGACTTTTTCCTGAAAATATCGGTGCTAATACAGCGCACTTACAAGAACTCATTCAAAATCTTCATGCTAAAATTGGTTGCATGCTTAGTTATTTTGGTTACTAGTATTTTTTCTAAATAAGTCGGGATTTTCTGTCCCAAAGCAACTCATCTTTATTTTCTGTTTTGTGTAACACTTATTTGTTTGCAGACGTCGATTCCCATTGATAAATTTCTTTTACATCCTTCAATCAAGCGTCATATAAAAAAGCGTTTTAATGACCCTATGAAATAAGTTCATCTAACGATCTGTATGTAATTAGTTTTAAAACTTTGTTGTACACATTAATCTAAGGTTCCTTAGAATAATATAACTGTTTTCAAATAATAGTTGTCTATTTTCTCCTTCTTGTGTCAATTGTATAAATTAAGATTATATATTTAATAAAATTCTCCCAATCAGTGATCGTCTCTGTGGCGTAATCGATAAGGCATCGGACTGACAATCTCATGGTCGTCAGTTCGATTCCCAGCGTGTGCGATGAATTTTATTCAGTAAATAAAGCCGTGCACTATTTCGGCTTAGTATGTTTACGCTATATAAATCCTTAGACCACTATGCGAGAATAGTAGGATATGGGTTATATAGAGACAAACTGACAGGAAGCATAATAATGTATGTTAGAGAAAGGGTCATGAAATCTAATGGTCGAAATATAGCTGAAATAGTGACGACTCGGCATTAAACAATAGTTATATATCAATCAGCCAATCAATACAACAAAGTAAACCTAAAATCTTTATACTCACATTGGTTCCTCTTCCACAGTATGAAATTGATTGCACTTCCGATGACAACAATGACAACAGAGATAATAACTCCAATAATAATGCTCGTTTTGTCACTGTTACATGTAGGAGGACTGGAGATGGGTTTTTCTGAAATTTTTATTTTTCATTAGAGTTCATTAGAGTTTTAAATTTAATTTCTTTTTTACTTTAATGAATTATGAACAACTAAAAAATACGAATTTAACAACTGAACAACTAAAGCTAAAACAAGTGAAAACAAAGTGCCATTATGCATTTAAATGATAAAATTTAAATATGTATGTGAAAGTGAACCTTCATATTAAGAAACACTGTTGAGAGATGTGTATTGTTTCATTATGTATATAATTAGTAACATTAAGTTTCTTGAACATTCCAGAGTGGTCAACATGTTTGGTCATTTTATCTAGAACATTCTTAAATTTTGTGTATGTCCAGATTGTTCCAGTAATATCATGTTTTAACAATTTCTAGAATATTCTAGATTTATATTACTGTATAAACAGGTCTGGACGATTTCTAAATATGGAAGTCAAGAACGATAACCTCAAGTTGCTATAAATATATTTCCTAAACACATCAGATGGTTTTCTGTCCAATCAGAAAACAGGATTATGACACACCTATGAAAAACCGTAAACAAAGACCGCATGTACACGTGGATTTTCGTTTTTCGTGAAAAAGATTTTTTTGATACATTTTTTTGGAAATCAAATTAGATATATTGGTTAAAAGAGATATTTACTACATTTCTACCGTGAACAAGCGATTATTTTCAGACATTTTACAGCATAATGACAGCATCATAAATTGGTATTGCAAAGACATATGTATGGAATGCATGTTGTTTAATTC